TATAGCCTTTTGCAGCAGCAGCCTTACAGTGACTAGTCGTTTTGAGATCATTGCTTAATATAACTCCTAAGTCTTTATAGTTTCTTGCTTTGGGTAGCACGAATCCACGTAGTGTATAGTCATACGATTCATCAGAGTTATTTAACTGCATCACTACACTTTTATTAGGATTTACTTCTAGTGACCACCTGTCCAACCATGCCACCAGTGAGCTAAGACTATTCTGTAATACTATCCTATCTGACATACTGTGTATGGGTCTCCAAATTTTTATGTCATCAGCAAAGAGTAAAACGGATGATTTTGCTACAGTTGGTAATTCATTTACATAAAGTAAAAAAAGAAGAGGACCTAGGATTGTGCCTTGGGGAACCCCACTTTTTACAGGTACCCACGAGGAGAGAGCCTCATTAACCCTTACCCTTTGTCTCCTGTCATGGAGAAAGTTACTTATCTAATCAACGACTGTGTTATGGATTCCAAAACGTTTCAGTTTGAATTTAAGACCAGAGTGTGAAACCTTATCAAAGGCTTTACATAGATCTATGAAAATTACATCCACAGGAGCATTTCGATCCTTTGCCGCAGCCCACTCTTCTCGTGCAATGAGAAGATTTGTCAAGCAAGATAGGCCTTTTCGAAAACCATGTTGTGCCCTGGAGAAAAGATTTTGCCCTTCAACATAGTTTATAACAGCTATCCGAATGATTTTCTCCATCAGTTTCACAACTGCACTAGTTAAGCTAACGGGTCTATAGTTACTAACTAAATCCCTACTCCTAGCCTTATACACCGGATTTATTGTGGCGTCTTTCCAGTCTCTAGGAAGTCTGTACTGTCTCAGAGACATGTCGAATAGTATCGCTAATCGTTCAGCAATTTCATCCGATATGGCTCTCATAATCCTAGGATGAATATCATCGTTTTAGTTATCCATGGTGGACTATTATTCGGTCTTCGCGGTACCAGGTATGGTATGAACGGGGACGTAACTAGTCTGAATTTACCTTTAAATACAGACCATGCTTCTTCAACTGATATGCTAGTATCTACTAACTAATCTGTCTTAGCAGCGCATTCCTGAATGGCTGATATGTTAGCTTTCCATACATTTGGGCGCGGTGTAACCTGATCGTATAACATGTCCCTAGTTCTAGACGCGAATGACAAAACAGCGTGATCGCTGTTTACTAACGGTGGAAGAATATTTAAGTCGACAATATCCTCAGTCTCATGAGTGATTACCAAATCCAGCAGAGAAGAACCCTGGTTAACACCAAAACGTGTGGGTTGGGATACATGCTGCACTAGTGCATGCTCCATTATTGTTATCAGTAACCTACTATCAAAGGAGTTTATAGATCCTTCTGTGATCATATCAGTCCAACTAATATCAGGTGCGTGTAAGTAAAAGAATGGAAACACAAAATAGCTGTCATTAGCACAGTCAAACAAAAGCACATTAAAACAAGCACTGGTACAGTTGGTCATAATAATAATTGTTTTTATTAAACCAGTCGTGTTCTCGTGATAAATGTGAGTCACTACAAACAGATGATCTAAACAAGTCACGTACATTGGAGACCTACGCATTTTTAGTTAGTAAGGTAGCTCATATAAAAATATAATTGCTAATGTACTCTGATGTTGCATAAATGTACTGCATATTCTTGGTACTTTTCATCTACAGATCGTTTAACGGTGGAAAGCTAATAAAAATGATGTCCTGCTTTTCGGATGTAACGCTGGTATGACTCAGCAGCAAACAAGCAGGTACGTCTCACTCACAGTAAAACATTTTGAGCCAATTAGTTTTGGAATCTCTACAGTTGGAAAAATGTATCTGAGTCCGTTGTATCTGCATGCATGACATAAAGAATAAATGTCAAGTGCAGTTGCTTTTAAGCCATAAGTGACTATGGCTCTTAAAACGTTTACTTCCCGAACATTAGAAAGCAATGTGCCATCGACAGCACACAAATAAATTTCGCGGAGTCTGATGTGCATCAGCACAATCTTCGTCGGATTAATTTCTAAGCCCCAACTTTGGAACATCAAACTAATTCATCTAGGTCGGCGCAGAGCAAGATGATCAGCCTCACTACTTATTATTCTCCAGATTTTGAAACAATGTCGATGAGTTGTAGCGACTAACTTTTATCAGGAGAACACGATTGGTTTGTTGAAAACAATTATTATTATAACCAATTGTACTGGTGACTGTTAAGTATGCTCTTTGTTCAACTGTGCTAAAAAGCATCCTTTATTCTCACACTTTGATTGTGACCTCACGCGAATTCAAATACGTTCTGTAGCCAAGATTGTGTCCTGGCACGATCTCAGTATCCTTTCGATACCACGAGATCACCAGCGAATATATCCCGATTTGGTCCATTAACTGCCTTTTGATATTTGGCTTCCGGGGGGATTTATTTGGCATATGTTTCTCTGTCGCAGTTTTCGTAGTCAGTCTCGACTCGACGCCACGCTAGAGACTTGTGATGTCCTCATACTCCGTTAACGTAGAAAGGAAAACAAAGGGGACCTAAGTGCTTTGAGATACACCACTTTCAATTCCCATTAAGATAATGTCCCATTTACCCCAACCCTTTATTTTCGAATACAGATGAAGTTTCTTATCCACTCTTGTAATGTACTTGTTATTCCAAGTTTCAAGATCTCATCAAAGACTTTGCTAGAATCGATAAATATCACATCGACAGGCAAGCCGTATCCATGTACACCTGTCCAATCATTTTCGAAATCAGCAAGTTAGTTTAGGATTAATGCTTAACTCGGAACCTATATTGGTTAGCTAACAGATTGCATGATTCTGCGTGGCTTGATAACTCTTCCCGAATTATTCCCTTAAGTAGATTAACTAATATGCTGATAGAACTGATAGGTCACTATATAAACACGAATGATCTTTTTTCACGCCTAAATATAGGGCCAAAAATACCATCCTTCCAACACCTAGGGAGATGAGTTTCGGAAAGGGACATGTCTAGCACCATTGTGAGTGATTCTGAAATAGTGTCCACAAGGACTGATCACATTCTTGGATGCAACCTCTTAGGACCCGGTAACGTACTAGATCTGAGGTTAATGGGCAGTTGTGAAGGCTTTTCAAGTCACGTGTGCTGGTCCTATAGCTGCTATTCCAGTGATGCTGTTGTAAGAAGTAGTGTTAACAAAACTCATAAAGTAGACCCGGTGATACATATTCTGCTTTGCTAATATAACGTACTGTTTGTCAGTGACATCGTCACAGTGGTGTGTAAACACTAATTTCAGCAATGATGGTTTATGTTCTAAGTCAATATTTGCCGCTTTTGTGGTGAATTGTACAGGTGCGCATTGAATAGTAGTTGTCAGTAGGAACCGTTGAAGCAGTTATAAGCTCTATATGACTTGTGTTAAGAGCGCTGAAATCTCCAGAGATGAGACAATGAGTCGTACTCCACTCGCTGATACGACTTCAGCAAAGTTGTCAGCACGACAACGTACGCTATGGTATGTTCCTAACGAGGTCACGACTCCGTATATGGACTAAAGTGTCCAATAAGCTACCTCACATGCGCCTAAATTGTGCGTCTTCGATTCACTCGATTTTACTAGTACGTAATATCAGGCTTCCTCCATCTTAATTTAAAAATTTACCACTTCTAATACAAATTTGTCTCGCAGTGTTCAAAGAACGGTCTACATCTGCAATAAGCCCCATTTCTGTAACAACATTTATATCAGGACCCAATTGTTCCATCATTAAAATTAGCTCGTACGTTCTAGTTCAAGACTTCGAGCGTCTGTGTAGCGCACGCATCACTTGTGCAATATTGTTATCGCTAAAAATACTGCGAAACCATTCGTGAGTCTTCTTAAAATTGAGAAAAACCCATATAAACAGATTCAGTTCTGTGTTTCGAACTTTGGTTGTATGCACAAATCCTAAATGCAGATAGTTTAGAGCATGATCCGATGTACACAATAGGGACAACGCCCGAGAAAATAAAAACACAGTAAGACACAGTAAGCTGTGGGCGTATTTTTCAGATTTTGCGAGTACTTAAACCCTTGAATTCATTGTTCTCTAAAGTAATTTAAGCCATTTTCCATGAGTCATTCAAGAGGAAAATCCACATATAATAGAGGACTCAGGACAATATTTCGCTGCAATTTTTGAATGTTTTTCCTACGTTTATTGGATGTATATGAGTTTGAAGAAGCCACAATATCGGGAGATTGGTAACGCCCTTATCAGTAACACCGTTATAATCGAAGTATTCCAAACTAGTCGAATCAGAAGTTAAAAATAAAGAAATTCAAAGGCATATTTGGAAGACTGTCGGTATGTCGAAGGAAGCTTGATTTAAGCTGGCTGATAGTTGGACGGGATGCGTAGCACGGTGTATCCACTTGTGATATGGCGTGGATGCGAGAGTGAGAGCGTTTAGTTGGGCAAGTGCAGTAAAACTAGTGAAGTTAGCATCACATATTGACTTACAGAGCTATTGGATTCTTGGATTTATTTACCGCTGCAGGTTCTTACCTGGAGGCACCGGTGATCCACTGCTACCAGATGCGGAAGCCCGTTAAGTCAGATTTTTCTATTCAGCCATAATCATTCATGCAATTCAGGTTTGGTGATTATCTAAAAATATAAATTCAAACAAAGAAAAACCATACGAAAGAGAACGACGGGCATACTTCTGACATAGACACTACATAAGACTAACTGTGATCGTAACTTAGTTTTATTAACGCAAGAAAATATCATAACATAGCAGGTGAGTAGAAAGGCCAAGAACGAACAAAATACCCGTGGCATACAGGTTTTCACACCGAGTCATCAATACTTGGAAACTGCTGCCCGAAGTAGTGATGTCCGCACTTTCAGCTGACTTTTTCAAGATAAGACTGGACACTCACAGGAGCATACTAGAAAAGGAATAACATAGGCCGTAGGCCTTCTGTCCTAACCATACAAATCTGAATCTGAACACTTTGCAAATTAACCGCGCAGACCAAACTCAAGGTTAAAGGGTCGTGAGTGGCATTACAAGTATCCATATTAATCGATCGGTGAGATAATTCGAAGTAACCGTGTTTGATGTTGTACAGCACTTTATAGTTTTTATACTTATACCATACTGCTTTTTCATCATCAAAGTGCTGAGAAAGCTCATATGGTTTCGGTGATGTTCCCAATCTCCAAAGTTTAAGGAAATTTTGAGGAAACCTACAAAGTCAAATGACCTTCACCAAAGTTAAAGGGAAATTTTTGGGAAATTTTGGGGTTTTGGTGCCATTTCCCCAAAGTTTACAATGGCGGTTTCCCTAAAATTTTCCCCGAAATTGGGAGCTCGAGTTGATCATCCGTTTCTACAGTATAAGATACTTCATTTCTCTTTTAGCATAGTTTCAACACACCTTGAAACCCCACTGCCCTTTCAGCTTGATTTTTTTAACTTTTTAGTTATAAATGTGATCCTACAATGCTTTGTCATCCCATGGGACAAATGTTTATTTCGTCTCACTCTCAGATTTAAAAACTGTACTAGAGACAATATCAAATTTACAGTCTGAGCGCTACAACTATTACTTTTTTTGTTGTAATAGGTCTTGTTATTTACTTCGGGGCACCATAAATTCACTTTGCGTGTCTATATTTTGCGTATCCCTACTACTTTTCCCTCAACTAGAGTAATGGTCAGCTGACAGTTATTGCTAAATGGTACAAAGACCCTCTGACACTAATTTGAAATCTATAAAATCCTTCAGTGTCCTAGTGTTTTAGTGGCTTCATATCTATAAAATACTGCATGTTAGGCCACTAATCATTGAAAAGTAGTGTGTTGAGTGCTACTCAAAGGTCAGTAATGGTTCACGAGCCTTTCAAATAATCTAACTATGACTGCGCTTATAGTCTGCCCCTGCCATATATTGAAGGTATAAATCCTTTTATGGTAAAAGAGAATTGGTCCTAATGATCAAATCTACGGATTACTATCCACGTCTCAATACTGGAAGTTTAGACATCGCGTCTTAGTACGGCATTAGCAACTGAGAAACTGCCAGTTTCGTCCATAGCTTTTACAGCCATTTGCGTTGCCTACACTAAATCGAAACTATTTGATCCCTTTTTGTAGAATCTGTTTTATACTCCAAATGGATGAATTCGAGGAGTACAGGTATGTTACTTTGTTTTCATATCTCAGTGATTTAGAAATCCACTTACTAAGAGATATGCAAGCCGTGAAATGGTGTGCAATTTCGGAGAAAAGCGAAAAGTAATCCTCTGGCGTCAACTGTGGATATGGTTAGCAGAAACACAAAAAGAGTTGGGATTCGATATCACAGGTAGGCTATCATCAGATTCTAGTTGGATGTGTTTATTTTCTATAGACTAAGATGGAATCTTCTTGTGTTTACGAATGCCAATGATGAACTAAGCTAATTTTTTTTACCTAATGTATCTGTAGTTAAGGTATCTCACATCTTGATTCGGGAACTAGATTAGCTGTAGTAGTTCACTTAAGTCGAAATCGTTTTCTGCAGTACTTTATTCCCTGAGTTCATGTAATATTTACAGCATCAAACTGAGTAATAAGACAGTACGTAGTAATTTCTGTCTTCACATCCTTCATTATTATATTTAAAATTACACCTAATAGTGATTGTAGATAAGCCTAGTACATGTGCCACACTTTTTTCATGCTACCTGTAGATATGATAATTTCTCGTATTAGATATCAGTTAAGCGAAAGATTAAAGATTGTAAGAAGCAACATACTCCATTTCATCAAGGTTCAGCACTATATATATATATATATAAAGAGAGAAAGCGTTGGGCATTTCGTTTCCTGACTTGATAGGTGTTAACCTGTAAAATGTCGGTTCCCCAATGATCAACAGTGTGTGGTTTAATTCCTTCATACCTTATTCAGCACTTTGTCGTTTAGTATTTTTCCTAATCTATTTGTGAAGTGACATTCCATGCTCATATTGTACTTGTATTGCTTGGGCTATCTAGTTCAGTCAGTCAGTCAACTTTTATCCTTCTTGATGCATTTTTCATACCTATGTCTTGTATCTAAATTATGCATTTCTCCGCTCACAGGATTGTTGTTTTATTATATGACTCTCCAACACTGATTTAGACGAACAGATTGATGAAATGAAAAGTCAAAGGGATTTAGTCGATTTCGGGACTGCCGCAGCTGAAGAAAAGGCTCGGCGACATGACGTGATGGCGCATGTATATACTTTTGCTTTAGCTTGTCCAAAAGCTGCACCAATCATTCACCTCGGTAAGTTTACGTGTTAAATATTATTTTTAGTTAATTGGTTATGATGTTTCGAAAACATTTTATCTATTTGAACACGTAAACATTGTTACAAGGGGGCACCAAATATATATGCGCCACACAATAACAATGAAGCCAGCAGTAGTTATCATTGGTTTCTGTGAGGGCTGCTGTACTGCCTGGGTTTCGAAACCGAAGCAGGATTTATAAAACAACATGTTAGTTTCATTTTTAGTAAAACCTGGCAATATAATCAGAGTTCAAACCATATACTGGGACATAAGGCATACCTATTTTGTGTAAAGTAAGCTCAATTGGTGGGTGCAAAATAAAAACGTAATCCATGACTTTATTATATATACAGCTTAAACTGAAATTATATGCAAATTCAGTTACAAGTCGTGTTTACTACCGATATTTTTAAATAGTAATGTGTTTTTGCTAAGGAGAATTTAGGCTATCTAGCTTCTATAATCACATACTAGTTCGTTTTTCCAAGGATAACCTTGATAAAATTGTCCTGATCCATACTCTCACAATGACTTTTACTAACATCTGACTGGTTGTCATCATTTTTAGATTGTCAACTTTGCATCCAAAAGTCACTGGACTTTACCATGTAGACAGAGTTGCTCCATCCCAATTTTTGACTTCTGTTGGGAATATGAAGCTATCCTGAAAGCATATGCATTACTAACACAGGCATCCGATTTTTTCAAATTTTCATTCGTTTGCGTTCGTATTAGTAGAGTTCCAATTGTTTGTAATCAGAATTTACCGTTAGGCTGTACTGGAGACTAAATTCTATTGAGGTCTAACAATCATTCGCAGTTTGTTTTCAAACTGTTAACCAGATTGCAATCGATCTCCTAATTTTCAGTTCGTTACTGTGATCAAATCGGTGATTATATTCCGCCTTTTGTTAAATATAGTTGGTTTTATGTTCGTAGTACTATGCACACGTTTCTGCTCGTTTGATAGGGATATCTCTGGCAGTTGGTAGCCTAATAACAGTATCCCACTGTGTTGTGTTGAACAAGCTTCATAAGTCACAAGGAAATAAGAGGATCTAACTAATACAGGACGTTCGTAAGAATATTTGTATTTTAAGGCCTGAAGAATAAACATCATTTTCGGAAAGTAATGAAAGCCTGTATCAAGCGGGATTTCAGGTTATAAGAATGGAAGGTTGTTTCTAAACACTATTCGACCTGTCTTTCTGGCCGGTAATATCTGCATACACGCAGTACGTAGTGATAATCACATATTATAAAGACTTCTGCTCAACTGTTTGTACAATTTTAAGATATAAATGCACTTGGAATAAAAGTTAATATTGTTTGTCTTCAAATATTATTGTAATCCTTAACAACTTACTTGCGAGCTCATTACCACAAATATGCTATAAAAACTGACACTAATAAAGTTATTTATCGGAAAAATAATTCAATGAAAATACATTAGTTTTAAACCAGTACCGCATATGATTGTTATTGCTTCTGTAAGTAGTGTCTCTGTAGAATGTAGCGTTATTGATGTTTAGATTCACCCTTCAGATTTTTAATTCTCAAATTTATTCTTGGAGCTCTTAACGCCAAAAATTAATCTAACTTTACTATGAAGTGTTCAAAGGACTGAAATGCTCTCACATGGCCACGTGCATACAGCCACTGTCAGAGAAGTCTTTCTCACTGCCTTCTCGTAATGGAAGTCTTGTGTACGGGATTGAGAGGACGAAAAGTGAATGTCCGGCGCTTTAACCGGTTTTGTAGACACAGAGAGTCCACCCAGGGAAGTTGAAAAACCCTGATTCCAAACCAATAGTGGACATGGGCTCCAGGATCCTAAGGAAACAAATGGTATGTGAAACTATTGTTGATCACCAGCTACCATGAGACTGCACTTCCTAATGTTGCTCCACTGTCTTATGGGCTGGACCTCTAGGTCAAAAGCTCGGGGTGTGACTTCCTATGGAAACCACCTGTCTCGGTTTGGGCGCCCGGGCAATATTCCGGCCTTCACAAAAATCGAATGATAAAGTGTGGCGCATATCTATTTGGTGCCCCTTGTACCAGTGTTTATTCGTTTAACTGATAACAATAAGAATAAGAATAATGTAACAACCCATATGGAATGCACTAACATTGCAATTCTTTGTGTACTGTTCCATATTTCTGTTTACTGAACACAATATAACGTAGTTACTCATTTCAAACAATTCCATAATGGATAATACACTACATCACTTTTTTATTTGGTGAATGTATAATTGTCAATTAGATTTAAGGTTCTCAATCTCTTATATGAAGATGAACAAATTAGTAGTATGTAATGGTTATCTAGTCAGTAATAACGCTGTTTCACTGCATGTAATCGAACCATACGTGTTTAGTTCTATTCGTTTATTCATGGGATCCATTTGTGAATGAAATAAATTAGCCGATAGTTCTGAATCATCAAAATATTGAAGTCCAGTTTCTTCTCTCAGAGTTTTCAGGTAGTCGTAAACCTGAACAATATTATCCCCTGAGGTTTTTTTCTATTATATGCAGATTTAAGTTCTTAATCTCCTTTTCAAAACATAAACATTATTTTTAGCAAACTACGTTTTAATTAATTAACACACACATATTTATGTGTATCACTAATATTGTCTGGTTTGGTTTTAATATATATACAGGTGCAACATCATGTTTTGTTGGTGATAATGCCGATTTAATCATGCTTAAGGATGGTTTAAATATACTTTTACCGAAGGTTGCTAGATGTATTGACCGGTTAGCTAAAAAAGCTATGTTGCACAAGAGTTTAATATGCCTCGCTCGCACCCATTTGCAACCCGCTCAACCTACTACAATGGGTCGTAGAATATGTATGTGGATACAAGATTTGTTATTAGATTTAGAGAATCTAGAAAGGTTGAAGAACCACACAATTCGTTTTCGTGGTGCTAAGGGTGCAGTAGGAACTCAAGCATCTTTTATGGATCTATTTCAAGGTGATCATCAAAAGGTTAGCTTACTTACTCTTGTGTCTTTTTATTATTCCATGATTATTCGTTCAAATAAAATATATTGTATTTCGAAAGGATTCGGATACTTGGCGCTGGATTATTCTGGTCTACCTCCAAATTATTCTGCCTTAAGTACCTAACGTCTTATGGGATCCCAAGAGAGCAATGAATACAGTTCTTGAGTTACTGTCATTCTTCAGGGTTATCGTAAAAATGCTGTCAAAAGATAAAGTCTGGCGTTATTTAACTACATATATTTTATAGTGTTCCTATCTTCTTCTTTGGCGACTATGTATTTTACGGCCATCGTACGAAATGCTTTAGTTTAGATGTGTAGAGCAATCATTTTCATATTCTCCGATAATTAATGCCTATCTAATGGGATAATCTTACAGCACCAAAGTAATAATGTGCGCCTGTTTCGGAAATGCTCCAATTTCAGGGTGAAAATGATTAAAGTTTTTAGAATATATCTTGTTATATCTAAACAAAAACTGAAATGGCTCAACACGAGGAAAATGCAGGAAGACTATATATGAAGATTTATCGTGTCAAATCAGATCAAAAACCATATCCGAATATACTGAGTTATATATTTTTTGCATATACTAATCAATATTCGAATTTGAATAAATCGAATTGGGTAATACTAGATATTGATTATTCGGTAACTTAATATCCAGACACAATTTCCATCATTAAATTGGATTTTTATTATTAAGGAACGTAACTATCTTACTAAGTTACATCATTACTCCATACTAACACCTTCCCCTTTTCACTTGAATTGATATATATATATATATTCTTTTAAACCTTTTTGTGATGTTCTAGATATGAATTATGTTAGCGTCATGTAGCGGCTATTTATAGTGAATTCTATTTTACAGGTTATCAAATTGGACGAAATCTTAACCCAAAAGTCTGGATTCCAGCGTTCCTGGTGTGTAACTGGTCAAACTTATCCAAGAAAAGTAGACAGTGAGATCTCTAACGTGTTGTCGAATATAGGTGCAACTGTTCATAAAATATGCACCGATATACGATTGCTGAGTAGTTTTCACGAAGTTGAGGAACCTTTTGAAACCAAACAAGTAATACTTTTTTCTAATAATTTGCTTAATGTCCAAACATATTTAAAAATGATTTGATGATAAGAAACGATCTGAGTTATGGATTTTCCAGTGTCGTTGTTGGCAATACTCCTAGTAATACTTGTATTCTGATACAGATCTCAGCTATCATAATATACTTTTAAATGACTGCATGATCAAGAACGGTTTTAATTCGAACAAAATTGATATGTCTTTATACGAAAAGTAAGAAACTGTTAGAAGATGAGGTTTTATTTCACCATCCGAACAAAATATAGCATTTCTTTTACAAATACATTCATTTATATACAGGTCTATTTGAATTGATTATCCATAACCGAATCTCACACTGAATGTATGCATAACGTACTGGTACACCTAACTGACACAACAAATTTTATAGAAACAGGTGTTAATATCGAACGAAATATCATACTGAATTAATACACGACCTCACACTCCACCCGATCTTAGCAACAACACATCGTGAATGTCTCAGGTTTACTCTTCGCAATCAGATATATATATATATATATATATATATATATATATATATATATATATATATAATAGTTTATCTAAGATCATTACGATAACAATTAGCTGTTAAAATATCTTCTCATTTGCAAATTTGCTGACTTGACGAATAAGAGATCAAGTTGTAAATTTGAACTTTGCTTCACATACTTCGTTTTAACAGCTGTATGGTATCGTTCGCCTTCAACCAAAAATTTTAGCTCAACACTTAGGACACAAATTCATACTTGGCTACTGAGTTGCATTATACTGTTCCATTATAACATTTTATAAATTAATTTAGGTATCAAGTATATTACACACCTATCACTTCCGTACATATTGTTGATAGGGTTTTCAGATTCAACTTAATGTTATGATTTGATCAATAAGAGTGTTCCTCACTGACTCTCAACTATTTGTTGATAACGTAGTGAGGAAACTTTTGATCACTTTCATTGAACTAAGTTTAATGAGCTCTTCCAATATAGAATAGTTTCATCTAGCTTTTACTTCACTTCATTTTGCATTTCTGGAGAGAGTTATAAGCATGGCTTGTGTTTTACGGGTGAGTTCTGAAGCATTTCGGAAGAATCGAATCTTATTGTCTGTTACAATAATTTTATCAGTACATTCTTTTGGCATTGTTTGCACACAATCAGTGGTAAGACCCATCAAAGTAGTTGTGGGTCGGTTTCACCTAACGAAGATCTGATTATCTTTTGTTTCAATAAAAAAGTCCTATTAAAGATTTCGGAAACGATGATGAACTCCCTTAAATTATCAATATTATCTCATCGACCAAACAAATGAAATTATTCTAACGCAAAATTATAATATTCTTATGGAGTAATACCTTACACAAGGATAAGGGACGTAAAGCAAAACATGGTACAGACTCATACTCTGTACTTTAAACTTTCTATTAGGTAAGGAGGTTAACAATGCCAACTGACTGAGAAAATTCATGCAACTGAAGTAGTATAACTGATTTTCTTACAAGTTCATTATGATTTGTCCTTTGGAAATTCCGGAAAAATCACTTATTAGTTTTTCGTACTTTTGTCAGTATATATGAATACTTGAGTCAAGATCAAGTCGGAGCATGCTGATTGGTTAATTTCCAATTAATCAGCCCTTTTAGACTAGAAGATTTCTGTGTACATTTTAGTACGAACTCTAACGTTCTTACCACTATATCTTTCGATGTTCAAATTTTTGGAATATATTTTCGTTCGTTTTTTATTCGTGTTCTGATTTGGGACTAATCGAGTGAAGTATTTTATCTAAAGCATACCAAACGGTAAACATTATAATAAGCTTTTTGTTGTCCTTCGGTTATGAACTGAAATACAGGTTATAATTCGATTTTCGATTTACAGATCAACTCTAATTTACTGACAGCTCAGACTAGTATCATTTTAACACTCCAAAATAACAAACACTACAGTTTTCTCTCTGAAACTGCTTCCTTATTCAATAGTTTATCTACACTGGTACATAGCACTTCATTTAGCTCACATTTTGTAGCCTACATGTTTGCTTTGTTTTATGCCAAGTGGCTTATCGAAATCGAATGTATCGATTAATATGAAAAGAAATTATTTTAAGGTTTGATTTTTTCATTGCCAGATAATTTACGTATAAGAAATGATTATGTACCATAACTGATACGAGGATTAATATAAATTCAATAGTAACGCTCTATGTTAAACTGTTAAGTTCATTGTCTGTTTTAATAATATTGGCAAACAATACTAGGGAGTATATCTATTTTTTTCGCCAATATGAACTTTATTTCAGTTTAAATGAGTCAAATCATCATTCATTCATGTGATGATAATATTATATATTAATTTTTGTACACTTTGCCAATAGTTCATGCGTTCGTTTTTCATCACTTGAAATGTATATTATTACTACTATTAAGTTCATAACATTTAAATTGTTTACCATTTTGTGTAGATATGGCATTTTGTTTTATTTTATTTTATTTGAACACATAAATATTGGTACACGAGGTCACCAAATATATATGCGCCACACAAAACAATGAGAATTCGAAGAGAAGAAGGGAAAAAATGAAAAGTAAGGAGCGTTTAAAAAAAAAGAACAATAACGAACAGATTAGTGTAAGGTAGTGTAATAATAATAATAATGGGGGAAACAGAAACGTACAATCAGAAGCGATCTTTCAGTTAAGGAAGAAGCAACCACTTTTTATGAAGAAAGTAAAAGAAGATTACAGCAGGATCACCACTGGCTTTTATTCTGAGCCATATCTGATAACGTCTCTAGCCACTATGTAGATATGGTATATTATATTTCATTCATATATTTATAAAATTTGTCCATACTCCTGTGATTCATTTTAATAGTTTCACTATATCTATTTCATGTTTAATTGTACAAATCTAGATCGGTTCAAGTGCAATGCCATATAAACGTAATCCTATTCGTTCAGAAAGAGCATGTTCTTTAGCACGTTATCTAATGCATATATCGACTTCCATGGTTTCTACAGCATCTGTTCAGTGGCTTGAACGTTCATTAGATGATTCAGCTATTCGTAGGATTGTTCTCCCAGAAGCTTTTCTTGCAGCCGATGCATGTCTTACTTTGCTACAAAACATAGCTGAAGGATTAATAGTGTACCCAATGGTATGTCCAGTCTTTGACGATTTGTTTATTCGTTATGAAACAATTCTCTATAGATGCCTTTGGAATTTCAATATTTTAATTGTATTAATTTTTAAAAAAAATTATTTCCGAGAGTCATATGGTATACAGTTCTTTTTAATCAGTAAACTAATTAAACTTGAAATTTACTATTGTTCTCCACTGTAGTATTATGTTTCATTAAACTGATATTAAGATAATTAATTTAATTGCTGTTCAACAAAACAGTTGGTCATATTATTAAAATCGTTAGTTAAAAGTACATCCATGTTATGAAGCTAAAACTAAGTCAATACGTTCAGTGAAGTAGAAGCCCCCAAAAACTCGAACGCAATTAGTTAATGTTTATTCTTAATCAAATTCCAGAAGCAAATGAAAAAAATATAGCCCTACGAACAAAAATTCAATCGAAATAATAAAATAACAGCCTTTACCTGAGAAACTTTTCATCAAGAAATTCATCAAATCTACAAAAAGAGTTTAAGATAGTCTAGAAGAAGCACATACTTAGTCCACTATAAGGCAATCAAGTAAACTCTATTACTATATAAGTTATTTATGAAGGGCTGAAGGAAACAATCATAAGTTCTGTTAAGATGGGATAATAAAACTTTGTTTTAATGTCAATAACCATGAAAGAATGTGTATATTACTTCCTTAGGTCTGTTACTCCTCGAAGAGGAGCATGAACTGCCCACCAAGATTCTCCATCCAGCTCTGTCTTGAACAATCCTTCACAGTTGCTATTCATTCTTTTGATGACAGTTTACAGTTCTCGACGCAATGTATTTCTTAGTTTTCCTCTTTTCATTGCTTTCCTTTCTTTCAGGATTCCATTTTAGGACATGCCTCTTGATGCAGTTTGTTGATTTCCGCAGTGTATGTCCTATCCATCCGCAGCGTATTTTCCTTGTTCTCTGCTATGGGGAGGTTGTTGTTGTTGTTGACGGTATCCGACCAACGGATCTGGATTATCTTGCGTAGACAATTGTTTATAAATAATTTTACTTTTTGAAAATGGTTATAGTAGTTGACCAAGTTTCAGTTCCGTACAACAGAACTATCTTGACGTTCGTATTGAAGATTCTGAGTTTGATGTTGGCTGACAGTTGTTTTGAGTCCCGTATGTTGTTCATTTATGGGAATGCGGCCCTTGCTTTTACGTCTGCACCGGATCCTCCTTGTTCATCGATGATGCTCCCCGGAGCATATATATATATATATATATATATATATATATATATATATATATATGTAACCGTAGTATACAGAATATATCAGGTTCGATAGAAGTAATAATGTGGCAACAAATTATCTTCTAGATTACAATTCTTTTCCTTAACAAAGCACGTTAATTAACAGGTGGATAGAGTATTTGTTGTACTTAGGGTACATCTTAATATTTCCGTACTCTGTAAAACAGTTCATACCCTCAAATCAAACACAAATATAATTAGCGTTTTATCAAATAGCATTAGTGTTGAAAGTGGTTGTATTATTTTGTCTGATTACGTGTATATTCTCCATTGAACATAATCTTAAATGTATATTTCAACAACCAATATGGTTTTGTCAATAGTTTGTATGCACAAATGCGCACTTATCACGCTTACATATTTATATTTGACTACCTCATTTTGTCTTGTGACAAGAAAAGTGATGTGTGTATATCTTCGTTCAAGTTGATTCTTTTCATTTTTCAACAGGTGATGGAAGCTAATTTAAATTCTGAACTTCCTTTCCTCGTTGTTGAACGTATTTTGGTCAAAATGGTGTCTGAAGGCGCAGCCAACCGTCAGGAATGCCATGAACGCCTTCGTAAGCATAGTCATGAAGCTGCTTCAGAAATTAAATTAAAGGGTTTAAAAAATAGTCTCATGGATAAGTTACTCAACGATGATTATTTTACCCCGATACATTCGTTACTTCCAAACTTATTAGATCCATCTTATATGATCGGTCGTGCTGTTGAACAGGTAATGATTTTTATCACACCTGCTTTACTGTTAAATATCAATAACAGTTCTATAAAATTTGATTGCACAATCGGGTAGCCTGTTGTTGTACTGGCATCGTTCATGATATTCTGATAAGGAAGATGTTAATGTACGTGGGATCTATAAGATAAAAATATTTTTTAAAATAAATATTCTAGTTTATTAAGAGAGGTGTTATGTAAAAAAGCACGGAGTACCATTTTGAATATAACTCCTTAATTTTCGAAATATCATGGCTTTACCCTATATCCAGTTAGATCGAATGACACTTTTTGTCGTCTCATGTAGATATTTTTCGTAATTTTGACCATTTGTACATTTATTTACTAGTGTTGTAAATTTTAAGGTTTTTTTCATGCATTAATATCAACTGAAAAATTGCTGAGAACTAGGAAGCACTAGACAGCTAGCTTTAAACTTGTTAACAACGCACACTTAGAAACCTTTGATTTCTTGATAACTATGATACTCTTAGTCTATTGAGTCGAAATCCAGTAAGTCATGATTCCAACACCAGTCATTTTGCTGTTTGATGTGATCATCATTTAATGTCATCGGTGATATCTCTTTCATTTTTGATATGACTGGATTCCGTATGTCGAATTCACACTACAACCCTTTGAGTATATGACTGTCATCAAGATAAATAGTTTTGTGGAAATTATTAGATTTGGAGTTATCTGTCACTGCTGACTGATACCCATGGGTACATTTTACTCATGGTCACGGGATTTCAGTGTACGTCTAACTGATCGAATAATCAATAACACGCCGTGTGTATAACTTATATTCATGTGACACAGAGACAGACCAGACGGGAAGGCCCTACAATTCACATTTTTCTTTACATTTTCTACATGCTCTTATTCCATCACCAGTCTTTTCAAGGTCAATATAACTAAATGAAATATCGTCTCACCAGCCAATAATTTTTTTAGTTTACATTCAGAATGATGGTAAAATAGAAGTTGAATTGTCTAGACTTTGTTTGCTAATTATTTAATTTCTTCATTTCTTTAATATTTAGGTGGAAGTATTCTTAGACACTGAAGTTGACCCAGCAATTCACTCATACAAAGATTCTTTAGCATTGAACAGTAATATCACAATTTGATATGACAACTTTATAAATAGTCAAATTGTAGTTAACTTTTACTTCCGTTCATTTCTCTTGACATGTTTGAATAATTAACTTTTGTTATGGATTTTTACTGCGATTTTTTAATTCTTTTGATTTTAATATTGCTCTGATTTCCTCCTTTTTTCCATAATATTCATTAATTTGATCCAATCTTTATGTGGTATCTATAAAATTAATTTTTAGAGTTCCATGATATTGTTGAACGTTGATTAGCCAAATCATGGTATGTTACAATGTTATGGTCAAATTGTATAAGTCATCAAATATAGCTCCGTTAATTACATTAGTTATAGTCAGTCATAAGTAACGTAGAACCTGGCACCTATCTACATCGGTTCAATTTGCTAAATGATACCAAAACGGTGAGATCCCAGAGTTGTCAGTCATAAGCAAGGTAGGACTTGGCACCTACCTATATCAGTTCGATTTTCCACATCACACCAGGACAGTGAGACTGCGGAGTGGTATAAGCAGTAACATTACCAACATCGGTAACCAGGTCGTATAACAGAAATCGATCTCATTATCTATGTTCTCAAAATGGTAAAATAATCTACTGAGGTGCCAGACGCCAAAAAGAAGATTTTATCTGTTTGGTGTTATATCCTTCATCCGATTATTGAGCAACTAGATTTTAGATCAACCTACGTTGTACTAGGGTTCTGTACTAGAATTCAGAAAAGTTTATGGTGTCGAGTTTGTAATTTTAAAAAATGTTGCAAAGTCATCTATTGGATTTCAACAAGGCTAATATCTACTGTGATGGTGATTTCCTTTAATTTTAAGACCTAATTAGAAAGGACAAAAATTCTAGTTTGATAACTACAGAAGAATCAATCCGACTGGTATAGTTTCTAAAATACTATCCTCTATAATCTTTTGAAGTGCAACTAAGGCTCGTAATGAGTAAACCAGACTGGTTTCATACTGAGACTTTAATGTACCAACCAAATATTCATACTCCATCAGGATTTAGAGCATGGGAATACTTGCCGACACCCAACTATAGCTGTATTTCTCAACCTCAGGGCTCCATTTGACTCTGTTGACCGGTAGGTTCCTTAATAATGTCTGCCATTGAAAGGCGTACGAAAGATGTACACAAACTTGAGGAGGTTCTCTATCCAGATACTATTGGTGAAATCGGATCTTATTAGCGAACTATCATCAAAATTCTCAATGTTTAATTGTGTTCATCATGGTTACTTACTGTCCCTCTTTCTATCTAACTTCATCCTAGATGTACTGGTAGGACTAATACTTCTTTCACCTGACTTTTCAACGATTAGTCTACCAGAAGGTCCACCTATTGAATTAGAATACGTAGACTACATAGTTATAAAAACGCTGACAAGGTGCAGACTTGTGATCACACTGAGCAAAAGTTCAGGCATGTTTGGAATGCAGCGTTCATCTATGAATACATTCCGACTCCATTTTTTCGAACCATATTTTCAACTCTCAATCTTCATTATTATTGCTACTACATTATTTCAATCTCGTTTGATATTCACCTCGTTATATTTATTTCGTCATCCTAATGTGATTCGCTAACGCACATCTGCGTCAGACTCGGTGTATTGTTTGTCTCTTTTTTGGAAAATGTGTATTTCTGAGTGAACACTAGTTTTACTGCAGAGTTTACATTCGTTGTTATGACTGCATCGAACTTTATGTATTACACTGATCAATACTTACTGTCCGAAGGTAGACACGATTACCAGATCACTGAAATGGCTATTATATTTTAATTGAGATCAGGTTGGCTTATTAGCAATAAAAAATCTTGTTCCTTAAGCGGTTAGACGATTTAGTTCTGATAACCCTTTAGGTAGTGGTGAACGAATCTAATTTGCCGAATATGGTCAGATATAATTCTTGATTATATGTATCTGGTCAATTATGTTGATGCTGATGTTAACCGGCAATTTATTTGCTTTAATTTACTAAAACATACACTTTGTTTACAAATTCTCCTCAATGTAATATATCTGTAATTCGCATTTAAAACACGTAATTCACCAAAGGGATCTCTATTCGACAAATGTATTATCAGGCTGTATATATCTAACGTTTTAGGGACTGATTTCGTGTGGAAATATGAATACTGAGTGAGCATGTTAATGTCATAAGAAGATTTTAATACTAGGTTATTTAGTGCAAATAATAACAATAAAGGGTTGTATAAATTCTGTTAACAACATTATTAGACTGAAATTCGTGATTACGACTAACTGTCAGTTTTGTACACAGTTCAAAACAAAGTGATATAAATCTGCATAAAAGTAACCAAACCAAAATAGGAACTAGATAAGTCTAGTACAATCAGATTGCAAAGCGGTATGGACAGTTGTAGTTCAAAGAAAGTTCCATTAAAAGTAGGAGGATAATGAGTGCTAGTATTTCAGAACACTGATGATTGATTCGCTTTTATAATTTGGAACCAGATGATTCAGTTACATTATGGTCTAATGTAAGTTCATGTACTCGACTTTAAGCAACCCAATCCGTTTCTACTGATTTCTCTATCTGTTATCTCTTGAAGACTCACTGATCATTAACATGTGCCAAGTCACTAATCGGAGGCATAATTCTAATTTGATCCGTTACTTACTCTACAGGATAGTATCTCTGACTTCGCCAATTACACGCCCGACCAGTACTATTACCTTTGATTCGGTAGCTAGGTTCCTATTGGCCCATTATTTGTTAGCCCGTCTCTATGCCCAGCCGTGAGTCCAGAAGTAGCAACCAGCCTCTACTGTATTTATATTCAAGACCTAAGTGGTTTATATACAGAATTCCCAGACCGCATTACATAATATGGGAAATAACAATTATACATAAACAGGTCAAAAGTGACTGTGGATAGGGGAGACAATAATAGATAGGCAATAAAATAAGAATATTAAGTCGTATGTTAGTAGTTTACGGGCTAGTTGGAAGCTTATAATAAAAGAAATACATATACATAACAATCTAGTTATTCGGTAATTACACAACAAAATTATCATTAATAATAATCCGGAAATCTAGTTCCAACTACTATAATATTCTTTCAGTTATGACACTATCCATTTGTCCAAAACCCAAGTAATAGTGAACCTGCGACCCATTAGTTAGGAGTAAAGTGCTTTAACCACTAAGCTACTGTTCTACGAATAAAATTATTCAAGGATATAAAATTACGATAAACAAGGTATTGCGTTCAGTCTTCCTACATTTTTGAATATCTCAACTGCCTATTAGAATATGAAGTAATAATAGACGTCATGCTCTTGATCACAGTTAATTTTAGCTGTTGACAAAAAGTTAATAATGGAAAGGTATATAATATAAATTACTTATTTCAACACAAAAACGTGTCTTTACTATTTACATGGTTCGTTTAATGTCACATAAAAAATTGTTATTTGATGCTAATAACATTTTAGCATTTTGCTCCCTAAAATGAACACTGTCTCGATTGTTTAAAAATGCTTCCTGCATTTCGCGTAGATTCATTTCCAGTTGTTGGCGTAATTTCCGTTTATTTTCTCTGAGAACCTAAAAAATCAGTAAATAAATAAAAGATTTATTTAAGTTGATATAAAACAAACTATCATCATCATAATATAACAAATGTTTGAGCTACTACTATTGAAAATGTCGAATAGGTTTGTAAACAGCGATCGATTATAATCAGTTTTTCATTCTTAATTACAAGAAACTGAATAGAACGATAGTAGTGTGGAAGATTTTGCATTCTGCAGACTTGATGGTTTAATCATGAAGAAATTTGACTGTTGTACTGTCAATTCAATTCGGTTGTTTGTTTACTTTGAAAAAGTGGCTTACATTAGGTCACGAAAAGTCAGAAATACAATATTTCTACTCATTGGGATATAACAAAAAATATATTTATTATTAATTATCTACCCAATGCTCAGTTTATTAGAAACCATCATGTCCGACCCTAGCATTGATACCTATAATGGCTAAAGCGACTGAAAAACTTTTCTTAATAAGAGCTCAATAAACTTAAATGATCTCGTATAAATGAAAGTGTTCCATCACCTGATATACAGAGAAATAAAACCAACTTGTCATCAATACAGTCTAACGAATATTTCAATCATAACAATAGTGATTGTAAGCCAGTCAGTCAGCTACAACGTAGGACCAGGCACATATGTGCATCGGTCCAGGTTGCCATACCTCATTAGCACAGCAAGATGAACAGCGGATTCATAGGAGTGGTTAGGTCAAAGGTTGCAATAAGGATATAGTATAGGAAGAAAGAATTAGTTCGTAGACAGAAAGAATGAAGTGATTTTAATCTTTTAGTTTAAGGGAAGACAGGGAGTGTATACACCGACGCCATTTTGATCGATTCTGAGCAATGTCACCAAGAGTCTCCAACCATTGGTTACGAAAGTCACGCGGACCCCAACCAAGTAGTCTGCATCTAAAAACATGGCTCAGACTAGAAGTTAGTGACTTCAGGCACTGATGCAACGTTTTGGTTTGGCCGCCCCTAACTTTCTTCCAACCATCTCCAACACCGGTTAGCATTGCACGTCGTGGTAATCGGTGTTTAGGCATACGTAATACGTGGCCCAACCATCTCAGTCGATGAAGATTCATAACCTCATCAACTGATTTACCATCATTCCCTAATACCCTGCGTCTAACCTCACTATTACTTACCCGGTGATCCCAGCAGACGCCAGCAATATTTCTAAGGCATCTGTGGTCAAATACTAGTAACTTACGGGTGTCTTCTACTCTTAATGGCCATGTTTCGCTGCCGTAAATTAAAACAGAACGAACTGCCGCGCAGTATACTCGTCCTTTTATTGATAGACGGATATCTCGCTCTCGCCAAAGGTGACGTGAGTTGGCAAAAGCCAAACGAGCTTTTCGAATCCGTGCTGAGATTTCGTCAGACACCAACCCATTAGGGCTGATCAGACTTCCAAGATAAGTGAAGTTGTCAACGCTTTCGACTACTTCACTCCCTATCCTTAGCTCAGGTGTTGACCCAGACCAGTCCTGAAGCAACAACTTGCATTTAGAGGGAGAGAAGCGCATCCCAAACATTCTGGCATTGTTGCTTAGTGCTACCAGAAGACTCTGCATTTTGTCAGCGTCTTCACCAAACAGGACTATGTCATCTGCGTATTCTAAGTCGATAAGTGGACCTCCTGGAAGGAGATCAATACCCGAGAATCCAGTCGACGAAAGTGTTATTTCAATCAATAGGTCTATGATGAAGTTAAACAGAAATAAAGAAAGTGG